TTAATGAAATAATTAAATAAATTATTTGATAATTTCGATAAATTGTATAAATAATTAATTAAATTTGTCTCTTAACTGAAAATTTTTATCAACCAGTGGCCATCACCAAGGAAATTATTTAATAAATTTGGAACATTGTATAAATGGATATATAAATAGTATAAACAGATAGAAAAATAGTATTTAATGTAATAAAATCAAGGCAATCATATTCATATATTTCATGTTTTTTATTATTAATGAAATAATTAAAGAAATTATTTGATAATTTCGATAAATTGTATAAATAATTAATTAAATTTGTCTCTTAACTGAAAATTTTTATCAACCAGTGGCCATCACCAAGGAAATTATTTAATAAATTTGGAACATTGTATAAATGGATATATAAATAGTATAAACAGATAGAAAAATAGTATTTAATGTAATAAAATCAAGGCAATCATATTCATATATTTCATGTTTTTTATTATTAATAAAATAATTAAAGAAATTATTTAACAATTTCGATAAATTGTATACATAATTAAATTTGTTTCTTAAATTGAAGGCATGACTAAAAATTTTTATTAACCTGTGGCCATCACTAAGGAAATTATTAAATAATTTTGGAAAATTGTATAAATGGATATATAAATAATATGAATAGATAGAAAAATAGTATTTAATGTAATAAAATCAAATCAATCATATTCATATATTTATTGCTTTTTTATGATTGCAATCAAAGTAATTATTTAACAATTTCGATAAATTGTATACATAATTAATTTTTTCTCTTAAATTGAAGGCGTGACTGATTTTTTTTATCATTAATAAAATAATTAAAGAAATTATTTAACAATTTCGATAAATTGTTAAATAATTAATGAAATTTGTCGCTTAACTGAAAATCTTTATCAACCTGTGGCCATCACCAAGGAAATTAATTAAATAAATTTGGAAAATTGTATAAATGGATATATAAATAGTACAAATAGAAAATTTATTAATCTCTCAAGACATGAAAATTGTAAGAAATGCTTCACAAGCTTTAATAAATTTTGTCATAAAATTTCATCCAGTTTCAGCTTTAAATACATGTATTAAACAACCAAATGCAACTATTGTTACTATTAACCTGTGGCCATTATCAAAATCACTTTTGGAATAAATGCATCAATTAATTTTTATCACATAAATTGCAAAAATAATTAGGAGGGCAAGCCTTTTGAATAAAAACAGTTGTTCCATTTATATTAATTAAAATATATACAAATATAAGTCTCAATTGTATGTGACAGGATGTGACAAGTTGATCCATTAAATAAGGTCATTGCAATGCGTAAGAATCCCACAAATGAATTTGTACAAAGTAATTCAGAGGAATCACATATGACCAAAATTATACGAATATTCAGATCCAAAATAAATACCAAATTTAATATTTTTTTCCTACTAACAAAAGTAAGTTTTGTAAGGTACTCACCCAAAAAGTTTGTAGTCCTTGTAAAAACATGAGTTTAATTTGTATAAAAACGATATTTATATTAAAGAAGTGTATCACTATTGTTTTAAACACTAAATCATCACTGTTTTAAGTCAACAAATTGTTCACTTTTAATATAAATTAATTATCAGCACAAACACACCAACGTCAAAGAAGTGAACGCTTCGATTGTGTTTAACTTTCTGGGTGTTAGTAAGCTTTGCTTGCTGGAGGAATGGTGGGGGAATGTTTGTTGATATTGTACTAATAAAATAATATTTAAACATTTAATTAAAATAATAATGATTGCATAAAATTCTTTATTGGTAATTGTAACCAAAACAACTTTGTTTTAATAAGTAAAATGACAATAAACATTATAATCAAAATGACGTTTCTGCAACTTCAGGTGAAACCAGAGGTGCCCTCTCAGGAGTACCAACGGCACTCCCTTCATAGGTCGTTGACATATTCTGTATGTAAAATAGCTTTATTGGTTTTTACTTTATCCATATATATTTATATATGTATAACTGAATCTCACAAAAAATAGTTTTAATTAGTTAAAACAAAATTTAAAACGTTTGCTGAATTATTTTCTCCCACAATTATTAAAACCAAAGTGCCAAATCATCTGTTAAGGTATATTGTCAAATTCATCTATCCATTATAACTGTACTCATCATTTAATTTTTTTAGGGGTATCTATTATAATGGCTGCAAATACTATTTCCACAGATGTTCAAATAAGATATTTGTTACAATGGTTTTCTGAATGGAGTGATCTCCAGCGAAGTGATTTTTTACCGATACTTGCAGAACAAATTGGATCATCTTCAAATTCTATTTACATGAATGGTGTTGTGAATTCTTTAGCAAATGCAACGTGTGATGATAAGCCTATGAATTTATTTCAATGTCGGGTAATACTGTGTTTTTTATTGTAATCGGTTATTCGAATAATAGTTAGAAAAAGATTGTTATTTATTGATTTATATAAGCTCACAGACTTAATAAGAAAATACGTCAATCTAAAATTATATATGTAAATATGCTTTAGAGTACTGAAAAATGATACAGAATTTCACAAATATTGAAGTTTCAATATTGCTATTGAGTTTCGAGAAATACAACACAATCGCAATGTATTAACTTGCACATGACTCATATGATAAACCGAAATAATGAAAAATTTGAGGAATTATGGAAATATTATATATTGACAACTTTTTGTTTATTCAATCAAGTCGTATTGTTTTTATATGCCAATGAATATACACAGACCCATTTTTACTTTATAGTTTGCACATTATTGGAATAATTTGCACATCTTAAAAAATCTTTAAAAAAAATGGATAAACAAAGACATTTTATTATGTTTTCATTGTTTAATTAGTTTATTATTATGAATGATTTTATTTATGATTATTAGGTAAAATTGTTCCGAGGATGGACAGCCAATTGGACAGCTGATGAAATGAAAAGGCTAGCAGAAAAATTCAGCGAGATTGATTCAAGCTTTGGAGAAAAACTAGCGGATGAGCTGAGCCCCAAAACAAATAAGGACGATAAAACTGAAAATCCACCAGAACCAGCAGAGCCCCAGGGTATTGAAGATGTTACAGAAAATATCAATGCTGTGGATAATATTGATAAAAGCATGATAACTGCTTAATTATGAATTTTCTATCACATCAATATTATCCTCAGGTAACTATGAGAAACATTCATTCCACTATTGTTTGGGAAATATTTTAAAGATCGATTTTTATTGAATATTATTTAAAGAAAAAATACCATGCTCAGTATTTTAAGAAACTGAATTTAGATATCTAGTGAAAAATGTATGCAGCATTTCTAATGGTTGTGATATCGAAATCTTATAAAGTATTGAATATTTTAATAATATTCTAGATTATATATTTAGCATTTTAATAATATTAATTATATTGAGTTTTAAATTGATTTAAAACTTACAAAAATTAATCGACATGTATTGTAGATATACATTCCAGTGAAATATAACATCCTAGTATATATCATTTCTAAATTGTAATATCTATACCTTGAAACTTGTTATTTCATTGGATCTGGGATGGATAGGGTTATTTACTATTTTACCCAAATTGTATTTATTACCAGTTGATTGAAAAATATATATTTATACTAAAAAACTTTGTTTTTATAAAGAGAAACACTATTCATTAATATAATGAATGTTATGCATTAAAACAAAAGTATTCAAAACATTGTTTTTATTTAATATGTTTTCAGTGATTTAAAACTCTTAAATAAATTTCTCAAATACCTAATTTTATTTTAATAGTTTACTATTGTTTGGATATATGTGAAAGACATTAGCATTGGCATTGCATTATAATAATCAAGATCTATTGTGGATATGCAAAGATGCTAAAAGAATCTTCTGTTTTTGGAATGAGAAACTCACTTATATTGAACCAATTTCCTTCATAACGTTTTTAATTTATTTTGAATAAATATTGTAATGTCTGTGAGAGCCATATGTAACAGAAATTTATCTATGAAGTTGTCCAGATTATTTGCCTACTCTTTGATGCATTTTGAAAATATTACAAAATTTTTTAAAACTAAATATAATAAATGCACAAAAAGTTATTTGCCAATCCGATTAAAATTTTACTATATATATCGTCAATTTCTGATCGCCTAAAATTGTGACAAACAAATTTAAAATAAATCTCTTTGTTTGCAAATTATATATCTAAATGTACAACATTATTTGCGCATAAAATTTGAAATCATTTAACAAGCAATAAAATAAATCATATACTAAATAACTATGGTAATAATATATTTTTATTAAGCACGATAATTGCTACGTACATGCTTTTACGTAGCAATTATTACGTAGTTTATAAACACGAAAAGCCTTTTAGTTATATTTTATATAAGCTACAACTATATTATTATTCTAAAAATACTCAAATTTATAGTAGTTTTTAAAAACCAACGACAAAATTAGATAAGTATCACGCATCTTTCATGTGTAGTGGAATGAAAAAAAAAATTAAAAAACACATTTAAAAATTCAAAAAACAGCTAGTCTACACAATTTAATATCGGCGTTTTAATTTTGGTCATTTTAGGTAATTAAAGTCAAGTTATATTATAATTGATTTATAAATTAATTTATTAAATCGCATCGTTTATAAAATATGTGTAGCAATGTGGAAAAAAACTTAAAAAATATACATTTAAAAATAAAAAACTGCTTGTCTACAATTTAATTTTGGTCCTTGTGTTATTGGAGTCGAGATATATTAATTAATTCACAATTTTGATAAAAAGTTTATCGAAAAAAATATCGAAATCATTCAGAACAGCACCCAACTTATCTATTAACAGTTTTTAGTTATAGAACCAAATAATTAACAGATTTCTAAATTTACTGGCTAATCCAGTAAATTATTATAATATTAAATTAAAATTTCACAAATGTACGTTTATTCCATTAAATAAAATCAAGATATTTTATTATAATTTTCTAAATTCAAATTAAACATTTCTCGGAAAATTTATCAGCATGTTGTGATGCGTGCGCTTGAGCAAATTTGATAAAATCATCGTGATTATGATGAAAATTGCTCAGCATGTATTCTATGAAACAGCAGAAATATACGTTCCGACTTGTCCATGGAACATTACAGTCAACTCCTTCTGGACCATTGAGCCGGAAATCCCCAGTGGTCCTTGTGGAACCTTGAACCAGGGATATATTTTCCGGAGGACCAGTTTTGAAAAAATATGAAACCACACCGGATCTATCACAGCGGGTTCTTCTACCTTGAGGAGATTCTACAAAAAGATACTCGTTAGTTGTTTTACGCCTTCCGGCATGTATTTTAATAAAAACATCTTCATTTTTTCTTTCAGTTTCTTTGCCTTCCAAATTGGCAATTTGGAAGCAAACTTCACCGCTACTCATGAACTCCTTGGCGTACTCAGGTAAAGTTTCATAAGCAGCAGACAAAGATGCCCTAAGTTGGCTGTCGACTGCTGTATAGTTTGGAGAATGCCGCAAAGTATACATTGGGTATGCCAGACGAAATTTGGCTTCATCTGCGTTTGGATAATCTGCAAGATGTCCATATACGTATAAATACGCACGTATTTTACAAGATAGGCTTGGTATGTGTTCGATCAAGAGTTGAAGTTGTAAAATATCCAGTTTTTTATCGACGGCATCCACAACCAGGTCACGCGCAATATTTTGTCCTAATGACTCACTTACTTGGTAGGCTTGCTCCATTAGATCAGGATATGCGATTGGTGGATTGTTTTTAAACGATGACCAAATTAAGTGTTTGGCAACTTTGGCAAAACCCTCTTTTTCTTCTTGAGTCAGTGATTGATCGCTCAAATATTGCTTAATGTGCTGAAATAGTTTTTTGTAATTTTCCACACCAGCTTGACTTTCTTGTGATAACGCATTGTAAAATAAAATTTTATGGGTTATATTAGTTTTAACCCTGGTGCAATAATCCAAGATGTGATCGAAACCTTCAGTTCCATTAACAACGTAATTCACGACACAATTAATATTTCCTTGATCATAAAGTTGAGGACAAGTTCTCTCTACCAGCTCGTAATCATCTTTCAGCAAAGCTTCAGAGCATTGCTCCATATTATGATGTCCATCCAGATACGCCTTCAAATTTGATTGATTAATATTAGGACAAGAAGCCACGATATTATTAGCGATAGTTTTAAATATTTTTAAGGCATCCGTATAATCTGACATAATTTTATCAAAACTTGGGTCGTCTATGTGGTCATAAATCTCTAATTTACTATTATCTAAATTATCCAAAGCTTTTTTGATAGTTTCCTCATTGCAAAGATGATTTTCCTTGGAATTGCGGTGGCTTCTTGCTGATTGACTACAGTATATAGAGCATAAAATGATGATAAAAAATGTGATTTTGAACTGCCACATTTTGCAGCGATATGTCTGAAACGCAAAAATATAATTATAGATTTATATAAAATTAGAAAACGAGAAAAAATTACAGAGAATTATATGCAATTCATTTATATTGTGAATCAAGGAACATCGAATGAAACGGTAGTTTTAGTTAAGAAATACAAAATACCTATTAACAACGAATCTAGTTCGATATATTAACAGCTAAGTAGAATTAGTAATCAAAATTATTTGAAAAAAAATAAAAGAATTCAAATTAGTTTTAATATATTCAGCATATTCAGTTGAAAAAAATCTTGCGTATGAATCAGTTTAAAGTATAAAGTTAGTATTGATAATTCAACATATTATCAAAAATATGTTAGAGCTCAGTAATTAGGTAAAAATCCATCAGAACAGCTTTTAAGAAAGTATTTCTGTTAATAAATGTATTTTATACTATTTAGAACTTAGGCATATTTTATTTAAGAACCATGATAAAAGTAACATAATTCCATAAATAAAAGACCAAATTGAAATCATTAATTGAATTTAAACAAACTATGAACAGTTACAATAAAAAAAGTCTGATCATACAGCGATATATGCAAACTTAGATCATTAATACATTTTTAGCATTTCTGTCTTTTTATAAAATACTAATATTATTAATTTAATGCTAAATAAAATTACATTAAAATACTAAGGCAAGTAAAAGCATTCTAAAAAACAACAATATGTACATAATTTTTTCTTTGATTTTCTAAACAACCAATGTGGACAATTTGAAGAGATATTTGATGAATAAAGCTATCTGAATATTAATGATATATGTTAGTAATGCATATTTTAAGTACTTAAGTAAACTATATGCTCGATATATCAAACATTAAACTACGAAAAGAAGTTATAAATATTTTGGATTCTTATGAAAGCAAGTCAAAAATATTTTGGGAAAATTTACACTTAATTTGCGTTAGGGTTTATATATTTCTTAAAATTATATCTCTTGCGTAACAAGATAAAATGCATTAAAATTAAATATAAAACGTAAAATGATTTAAATATCATTTATAATATATCATGTAATAGCAGAAAAATGTGTTTAATTAATAGACCTTTCAAGTTTACTTTTGGCACGAGGGAAAGTTACGACCTAATATTTGTTTCATGCAAAGATATGATTGACTTTTTTTAAATATTTAGTAACAAATTTACACGTATTTATGAAATCTTATATATGTATAATATTTATATAATACTTATATATTTTGATGAATTACTTTGAAAAAAGTTTCGACAATAGCGAAGAAAAAGTTTGTGTACCGTAGGGACGTGAAAATAATTTAATTTTTATATAGATATGACTAAAAGTATTTTAAAAATATATAGATAAAACTAAGGTTTAGAATATCATTAAGTAAGTTTATTAGAAAAAATATAAAACCGAAGCTGTCTTTCAGATTTGTGATGTCACAATTTGTAGTGCCTGATTATTAAGAAAATAAAGATTAAATTATGGAAAAGTTGCAGTTATAAACGGTTCATAATTAAGAGTATAGCTGTTAAAGTTATTGCATTTTGATTCACATAATATATGTGACAGTGAGTTGAAAATATTAATATACAATAAGATTAGTATATCTCATTTTAGACTATCATATCTGCTGAAAATTATTTGAGTTTATAAGATAAAAGATTCCAAAATCAATTTTTTGTGTAGGTGCCAAAATTGGCTAATTGGACGTGCTTCAAACACAGCATTGCTTAAAATTTGTTATGTATGATCGTTTTTTTATATTGTACAATTTTAAGTTTTAACGGCAGAAGGAATTCGAACAAGCTATAATTGAAAATTATAAGAGAAAAATCATATTTAATTTTAGAAACTGAATCAGAAGTGGTGGTATATTTTGGCTTGTGGAGAATACTACACACAAATGGAGTGAATTTAAGTTGACAGTAATCTTAGTAACTTAGATTTTAAATTCCAGCAAAAATAATTGATTAGTTATTATCCTAAATATTTTAAATATTAAGATTTCTGTAGATTGCAAATTTTTGATTTAGAAAGATTTCAAATAACTACAGAAATTCTATGAAACAAAATTAGTTTTTACTGTAAAATACATTTGCAATGAATATTTTGGTCAATATTCAGTAATATTGCTTTCTAACATTTCATTCATTATTTAATATTTTCAATATTATTACCTAGATTCACTTAAAGTATTAATTAAAAGTATTGTTGTTTCTACTTTCTCCGATAGATGTTACAACTAGCCCCAAATACTGGAGCAAATTAGCTCGAATTATTGTTATGCATTATTATCAATTATTGTTATCAATTATTATCCATTAAAAGTATTGTTGTTACTACTTCCTCCGATAGATGTTACAACTAGCCCCAAATACTGGAGCAAATTAGCTCCAAGTTAGATTAAGTATGTCATGATTTCATATATCAAAACAAAAAATTGATGCATAATAAAAACATCATTGAATTACAAAGTTTTGAATTTTAATTAAATACACTTATAATTATGTATGAAAATGCTCTCCACAGTACTTTATCTAGAAAACGATTAATTGGAAAATAATGAACATCAGTTAAAGAGTTATTTTTAACTTCCCGTAGGGTAAGTTATTGTAATGGGCCGAAAATCGGAATTGAAAATTTTTACATTTCTCGACGTTTTGAAGGTTTCTGAACGTTTTGGCATACCTCAGAAAAAATGGATGTGTGTGTGTGTGTGTGTGTGTGTGTGTGTGTGTGTGTATGTATGTATGGATACAAATTTTCGCCCACGTTTTCGGGCGTACGGATTAACCGATTTGAATAATTTAAAAAACATTCGATTCCTATTGATAAGGAGAAGAGCTGATTAGTTTTTGGCAAAGGCAGGTCCAGCAGTTACGGAGATAAAGAGCAAAGAGTGCAGAAAATAGAAATCGAGTTTTTGAGAGAACGGAGCATCCGATTTGAATGATCTAAAAAACATGCAATTAGTAATGATTGGGAGAAGGGGTTATTAGTTTTTCGCAAAGGCAGGCCCAGCCATTTCGGAGATACAGAGCTAAATGTGCAAAAAATGGCAGTTTTTGAGAGAATTAAGCGTCCGATTCAATTGATTCAAAGAACTTTCTGCTTGTCTTAACAAAATAATTGATTTTGGAAAAAAAAAATTGCACCATTTTTTTTTTTTTTTTAAATTTTTTAAATTTTTTGTATATCGAAAATAAATCAGATTTTATTTTTAATTCTGACTATAGTTCTAATATACTTTAAACAAATAATTTCAACTCTGCAATTCAGTTTATATAATTCTTATAAATATTAGACAAGGTTACAATATTTATAATAATCTTTTTGAAAACATTCAATATTCCTCGAACATTTCGTTCCAGCTCGAACGGGAAGTTCCAGCAATTTGCCTTAAGGCACGATGCCACCCACCCCACTAGTTATTTGATAATTTGGTAATCAGTAGATCACAAAATATGATAATTAAAAAAACTGTTACAACAAGCCTCTAGCACCCCTATTAGAGAAGATTAAGCGTGTTTATAAATAAAACATGAAATAATTAAAATAATGTCAATGCAGCATCGTAATATATAATAATACAGTATGAAATGAATTACATAAATTCATCTTTGTAAATGGTCACTATGTTTGAAGCACATAAATTTATTTTTATGTTCCAGAATTGAGGAAAAAACTAGCACTGTGCATACCAGCATATATATATATATATATATATATATATATATATATATATATATATATGAAATATATACATATAGTTAATTTATTCATGGTTCAAATTGGGGCAGCAGTTAAGGATCCTTGTTCAGAAAATTATACTGGATCAAAATTAAGGAAAAAGAGGAAAGAGAAAATTATATTATCTAATACAGATTCGAAATATAGAGTAAGTCAAGTTAAATGGCAAATGTCCATTATCATAATACGATATAATCAATAACCATATATTTATTATTAAAAAAAATTGATCTGCCACAAAAGAAGATATCGGTGCAAATCATTTAAGAAAATATTTTAAACGTTTATTACTTGTATTTGCTATTGTGCAAATGTTATAAATTCAATGATTCACAAAAATACAAGTGATATATATGAAAATTACATAACATAACACTGGTTCTATTAATTCTATTTAGTATACTTACCATATTATTGTCATTAAACTATTTGATAAGTTGCATTAACTAAACTGCACACTTAGTTGTTATTCACTTACTGATCGCCTGTTATGATTACATGTGGCGATGCTTGTATATATTTTTGTGCCTTCCGATAATTTCTACGTCATGTAACCTTCAATATGATTAAATATGACCCCAAGATCCTGCATTCGTGTTTTGCCTCGTCACAAATTGGAAATTTGTGATTTATGGACTCTTGGATGAAAAATATAAGCGCTGTGTTTATAGGAACTAATAGATTTATCGTAAGCAACAGGTATTGTTTGAAACAATACAGCTTCCAATTAACTAGAATTTATTGAACTGATAAAATATTAAATGTAATTGAGGCTTACATTATGACTTTTGAAATTCGAGCATGTAGTTGTAAATTTGATCTATTGTAAAATATAAATAATTTATGCCACCGAAGTTGGTACTACACACAAATTACATAATATTCACAGAATTTAAAAAATTTCCCATACGTTTTTACAAGCAATGTTAACAAAACAAAAAAAAGTACCATCCAGACCTCTGTACGATTTTGCTCTAGGTGGTGGCCCTTTTAAAAATAAATATGATCACAATATTCGGTTATAAAGTTATTAACGTTTTTTAAGATAGCAAGATTATGGTTAGGTTGTGCTATTTGTGCCTTTAATTGTGCCTTCATTGCACTATAAATTATGTATAATTCTAGGTTAAGTTTGCAATAACATCATGCTAGGACGTCCAATTCGATTTAGACGTTTTTAAGTACTACCAAATATTTCCATATGAAATAGGAGCAAATACTACTAAAAAACAATGAAAATTAAAAAAATCAAAAGATAT